TATCTTGGTTTAAGTAAACAATACGAAAAATGCCGGACCTTGCAAAGGAGTATTTTCAATTTTCCTTCTTTTGCAAACCCAGTGGCCGCCTTGTCGTCCAGCAGCACATTAAACGCACATAGTGATGCGCTCCAAATAAAAGTTATCTAAGCAAATATCAGATATATTCACCATGGCTTCAAGTTGGAGTTCGCGGTGTGACATCGGAGCATTCAGTTTTTATCAGCTTTCGTGGAGTTTACTTTTAGGATATTTGTGTTCGCATGTTTTTTCAAATTTTTTTATATATCAAAATTAGTTTGCTTATGTGAAAATTAAAACTCCGGGTAAATGTCCAAAGTCAAGGTTACGTGAATATCAAATCGTCAGAATTTTTGCCTACTTATAGATACAATTATTAAAACAAAGGTACCTATCCGTTGGTAAAATCAGTGGAAATACTCAGAAAGTCGTATCAGTATATAAGGGGACCACAAATGAATCGAAGATCAAGGTTTTTCACTCAGAATGTAAACACTCCGAATTTAAACACTCCGAATGTAAAGGAACAGACTTAGACTAACTGAAATTGATCATTAGAAGACTTCTGACTGCACAAAAAATCCCTGAGAACAATATATTGTGACTTGTATAGGACAAATCCAAACTGTGAACGCATCTGTGCTACTTAGTAAAAGGGAGACGTCACAATACGGTCACAGTTCTGCATATTTGACATTTTCTAATTCAACACAGTTACGATTGACAGCACGAATCATCGCGTTTGAAGCATTTTGGCAAGAACTGAAAACTTAAAGTATGGTTTCGTCGAAAAAGTTATAACCAGTCTGCACTCAGTAAACTAGGACTTATTTGCATTATCCATTTATAAAACGAGCATTCCATAGTAAAGGACAATTGTCAATGTAACGAGCTGTTTTGTTATATGGTTCAGTGGTTGCCCGAAACTAAAAGCCTTATTTCTGTTAAACACGCCGCCATGATTTTAGCCTAGGAATGGGAGGCAGCGTTCACATTATACAGCCTGGTATTACTGAAATGTCCTGACGACCGTTGAATTCTGTTTAGGAATCCAGCAGTTTTAACAGCGTGAACGAAAACTGCAAATTTATGTAAGCTATATATGAATTGTGTTTTTGAAATTTTGCAGTTCTTTTCTTTAACTTTATTTTGAAAGCGAATAATCATTCAGTGGATGTTTTAACTGCCCACGCTACTACCAGAACAAGCTTTTATAAAGATTTAGAGGAAATGCAATATTCAGAGTGTCTTCTTAACCTTTAAATTCCAGTACGGAGCTAATTTTTTATATTGCATTCCTGTGCAATTATCCTCTAAACAGTTATTTAAAAATCAATATCGAAGTCCTGGGCCTAGGCCTGGGTTTTTCTGCTTCAATCTTAGCGTCTATTAAATTTAAAAATAAAAATGTAATATCGGGTATGAAATAGTCGCCGATGGCCAGTCCTATACTTCAACAGAACACCAAAAATTAAATTGTTATAGTTAATAAACAGAGTAACATAATATTATCTGTACTTGTGAACGAACCTTAATGAAGATATCAACATTTTCAACAATGTAAGTTGACTCTATAATTTACATTTTATCTTCGGCAAACGATAATTAGTTTGGATAGTAAATGAAATTTTAAAAGAAATTAGTAACGCGTGTTTCCATGTAGAAAATATTGTTTATCTACTGTAGTAATGACCATTGTTGTTCGGCATAATCCCCCAGGTATATCAGCTGCATCAGGCCGGGTTCAAAAGCCTACCATGAAACATGACTGCATACGTTTTCTGACTTTTGCAGCTTCATTGACTTCTATTATCTGAAGAAAATGTATACAACAAATGTTTCCTATATATTTTGATAGGAAGTTGAATCCTATGCAAAATCTGTATTCAATAAAATGCATCCTTTGGTTTTGAAACGTTTTTACTTATGACATTTTTAAATATCAGACATTCCAATTCATAAAACATTTTTTCATTAAAGTTACTTGCAAATTGTACAAAATGATTCACATCCATGGCGACATTTTATGAATATTTAATAGCCTCCGTTTCATAGCATATGGAAAAACACGAATTTACCTACGCGAAAAATATACAGCCCCTAGTTTCAAAGCGCTTCATCAACGATCAGTTTGAAAGTTATTCAGGAATTTAAACAACTTTTTAAACGAAAAAAAATCCTATATTTTTAACTATACTACTGGAGACTGCACTTCGTACAAAATGAATACAAGAAATAATATTGACGTAGGTTTTTGTATAAAATTCATTTGGACTTAAAGAGGGTCGAAATGTGTGCACGAAATGCATACTAACTAATCAGTCATTTTCATTGTGGGCGTAAAAATGTCTGTCCAAAATCCGATGCCCCACTGTAATTGAAATATCTGAAGATTAGATCGCACGACAGTTCATATTCCGATGAAACTTCAAATTATTTTCTAATCGAAACGGATTTCACAATTGCCGCGAGCATTTCAAGGGCTCGCATGGTAAATTAAAATATTATTTCCAGCACTAACCCGCGAGTGTGATAGTCCTGACTAGTCAGTTGACAAAACACTGCTCAAAAAATATAAAAAATGAAATTGAATTTTAATTCGTTGCCTGAAACCTCCAGATCGTGCTCCTGCTCATGCACCTCCCATAATATAGATACCATAAAAATGGGATATATATTGCATTACACCGAAAAGCGTCTCATCAAACTTCAAGCTATAATGAACAAATATAGTGAAAAAGCCATTAGTCATGGCAGTTTAGCCATCGTGAACCATAATGTCGGCAGTACGTCTCAACCTGGTTGGCCCAGGGACGGAATCTTGTGCGTGAATTCATCAGTAGTCATAGTAGACTTGAGCCGTTATCTCTTCTCCATCACTCAAACATATCCTGTCTTAAGACAGAGTCAGGAAGACCGTAGTCGGGATTGGTGCAGCATTTGCCATAGCCAAACAGTCACCTACACGGGCGAAGCAAGCTGAAGCATGCATGATGGCTCAGGTTTTTACGAAAAAGGCAGCAGATCGGATCTTCTCCGAGTTTAGAAAGAACATACAGTTGGGCCGATATGCTTGCGTCCCGTAGTTAAATATCCTAAAAATAAAACATATGTTTAGCTAACGCAAAAGTCTTGAGGATTCCTCGAAAACCTTTCCAGTCAAGCTCACACTCCCATTAACTTTGCGGGTCTAATAAAATACATTGACGTTTTATTGCCTTTGACTGCACTCAACCTTCATTGCTGCCAGAAAAAAATTGGAGATGAACGAATGGGTTTCGATTCAATGGCTTACACAAATGTGCACTTATAATGTTGCAAAGATAAACAGAAACAGATTTGTTAGAAAGGATCTTAATCTTATTTTATTTCATAATTTTAAAGAAGACATGTTGATGATTAGTGACTGTAATTGATATTTATTTACGAAACGTCATGATTTTGTAAAAGTAAAAGTAAGTAACCGTTTCAAGACTATGACAGGAAGTTCCGCAGGCCTCAAATACTGTAAGCCAAGAAGACTTTAGTCCGTTCATATGGGGTATGATCACTTTTACCCAAAAATATTTTCGAGAAATCTCGAATTTTAACCCATGTAGCGCTGTCCGTATCCATAAATGTCGTGTCTCGTGCTCATGTTTTCGACCTTTGCATGAGATGAAAAATTTTTATTACAAACCAGAAAAACGGAAAAAGCACACAATAGCCTTGTATTGCTTCTATTTTCGGTGTAGCCTGCATGGATGGCGGGGAAGACGTTTCACGGAAAACCAACTTTTCACCGTGCAAGAATTCACTTGGAATCAAACTCCTAACGGTCATATTTGCAAATTCGAGCAAAAAAGTTTTTTATTTGCATGTGTATTACCGCATTTTTAGAGTTATTACGGTCATTTACATACAGTACTAGTACGAAAATTTGACATATTAAAAAGTTATCAAAGGAGGAGAAGCTTTCACATGCTGAAAGTTTTTTTCAAAAGTTAGCTCAGTTTTACTCCTTAAATAATGACTTTAAATATTGTGATATCGATTGTTTTCAACAGTAAGGAGTAGATTATGGGACTCCTTAGGTACCACTTGCAAGAAACATTAAACCGACAAAAACGGTTTAAAGCTCTTATTTTTTTTATTAAAACTTACTGCTAATTAAGTGGCCTTAAAACGTAGAATATACGATAAATAGATAGTAAGTGGCCCACAAGACTGTTACAAAATCATAATTAGTTTGCTAGTAAATCAAGACATGTAACTCATACGCTGAGGAAATATGACATGGATATTTCTTCTCGGATTCAGTCTTTAAAATAGCATTCAAAACTGCGCTCGAACGTGATAACAATAACAGTGTAAGCCAAAGCAAAACAACTATTTTCTTTTCTTGCTGGTGATACGTACCCAGTACTAGTAGCTTAGAGATTTAACAAAATAAAATTGATTATTTCAAAATAATTTAAATGTTGTCACATAAATGAATGGACATGTTGTGCTCAAATAATTCACCATAGTCTAGTGTCGCCTCCTCGTTAGATTATCTCGCGTACATCTTGACCTATTCTGCGGCTCCTTGCAGTGCAAGATCTTAACTGGAATTTAAACTGTGATAAGGTGACCCTTTTATAGCGCAATCCTCGAGAGAAAGACTAGTAGTTTATACTCCACGGTCGTCATGAGCTTCCTCAAATACGTTTCATCTTGCCTGAATAAAAAGTCTAGATATAGTAAAGTATTCGTATCGTAGATGCTGCATTGAGTGCCCAGTGAAAGTGCTCAAAAAGTCTAAATACCTTCCCCCATTGCGGGCTGTGTGGAAGACAACAAGGTGACTTATGTTTGTTATTACAATTCACGTCTTATAAGTGCATTTTCTCAATTAAACCAGCTCCAAAGGTCAAGTTAAAATGGTCCGTGGAGAAGTGAGTATTGTGTTTCATTTTATATACTTTTTATTGACATACTTAAAAAAATAATTTTCCAGCTCACGAGCTAGCCTTAAAATAGACTTTTTGTCCGTCTGGTTTATTACCACTGAGTAGCTGTCGTCGCCTGGCAGAGTACTGAAGTGTGCTCCATCGGTACATTGGAAGGGCAGCCTCAAAGTCACTGTCCATTCTCAACTTCTGTCTTGCAATCTCTTCTGTGCTGCTGGAAAGCCCATTCGGCCAATACTGCCTCCCACCATACGGGCTACTCACGGCCAGTGAATCCTGTTTGGACGCTGTGCTCCAGGTCCTCTTAAGGGATTCTTTGAGCCCATCTACTGAAGAATGAACAGGGCACCAGTTTGACTGAAAGTGCTCCTTCACCACGCCACCTTGCTCCATGCTGTGTTTCCTGCTTCCATGCACCGGGCAGGCCTCATCGGTGCTGACACTGCTTCCGCTGCCAGCGTCAGCGTTGGCGCCAGTATATGAGTCCTTGTAGTATTGGCGCTCACTCGGGGAATCAGAGTCCTCGTTTTTAGCATTATCGTAAGACACAAATGGAGCAAATGTTCGTACAACTGGGCGATCATCCTCTTCCGGCTTTTCCTGCTCAGCACTGCGCTCCAGGGAGGGTATGTGGGAGGTGACTGGGAGGGAGAGAAAGGGCTTCTCGGAGCCCGTCAGTTCCGAAGAAGGCATATTAGCAACTTGGGAAGTATCCTTTACGTAATGGGCTGAACTGTAATTTGCCTGTCTGTTAGGAGGACGCGGGGAACTCTGTGGCCGCGGGCCAACTTTAGAAGTCAACAGAGAACTAGACAATACAGTCGAATGTGGAGATATTTTCCTGCTGAGCTCAGGCATGTAAGCACATGTTTGTCTGGGTGGTGCAGACATCACTGTAACTGACTGAGATTCTGAGGCCAGTGCACACCCATTCACGAAACTGAAAGAGGTAATCGTCAAATTCTCCTTTTGTGAAACAGCTGACTTCCTGATGGAGGATTTTTCAGGTTCCTGTGGAGTTAACGGACGTTCAACACTTTCTAGGCGCGTATTGGCCTCGCGAAGAGGAGCGTGCATGGCCATACTGATGCATCGGGACTTGTGTTTGTAGTAAAGAGCAACCATTAGGAGCGCTGCTCCACAAAAAACGCACAGCCCGATGAAAATGGTTGCAAGTGGCAAAATCCAGGATTGTTGTCCATTATGCTCTTGACTTTCAACGTTACTAACCGTTACTTTGCCGATTTTTAGGTCATCGTCGGGACGCTCAGCCTCGTCTAGAAGAAATTTGGCTTCCCTATGACGACTGCTGACCCAGAGCTGAAAGGCTGCCCTTGCGGAACCACGACTATTAGCGGTTGTACAGGTGTAATTGCCAGAGTCCTCGTCATATTGTAGGTCGAAAATCGTAAGAGTGGTTGTGAACCGTGTACCCTTCGATGTTTCTTGACGGATACGTTTCAGTTCAGGTCTCAGTAGTACACCATTCTTGTACCAACTAACCAGCATTTTGGGCTGACTAAGAAAGGTGCAGCGTAGTTGAATGGTCTCCCCGGCAGCTGAGGAGACATGCAAAAATGTTTTGCTCTGCTCATAAATGTTGGCTGCCGTCGCATTTATAGCCTGTAGCTTCGGAACACATTGAAAGGTTGTCACTGGAAGGTCTAACAGTGTCAGTTTGCTAAATTCCTTTGGGTACTTGCAAGGACTTGTGATTTTCTTTTCTTTTACATAAGGTTGTCGGTGAACTTGTGCTAGCCAATGTCGCAGCCATAGCAGTCGACAATCACAGACCCAAGAGATGTGAGTAAGGTTGATAGCAGTAAGCTTTTCTGGACGAATTCCTTCAAAGGCGTTTTCCGGAAATGCCGAAAATTCGTTGTTCGAAAGATCAAAATCTTCAAGCAAGCCAAGACCGGCAAAAGCATTGCTCTGAATTTCCACTGGACCATTCAAATCAGAGATATGGAGTATCCGTAGTGTCTCTCCAAGTGGACTTAACCATTCAGTGGCTATTCTGCCCAATGGGTTTCCTGACAGATCCAGACCTCGAAGTTTCTTTAGCTTGGACAAAGCAGAGACAGGAAAATTTGATGACACACGGAATGAAAGTCTATTCCTTCTAAGCGACAAGTATTCCAGCGTCAAAGCTAGCGCTTCAAAAGCCCGATCAGTAATTTTGTAGATCCGATTGTCATCCAGATTCAAGGTTTGTAACTGACGGAAGCCGAGAAAACTATCTTCGTGTAGAATTTCAATCCTGTTGTTTGAGAGGTCAAGTTTCCTTGTATCCGGGTGAATTCCCTGAGGGATGGAGCCTAGTTCACTGTTGATGCATCTATATGTCATTATATCAACCTGCGGTGCGCAGGTGTTAGAAACGGGAGTCAGATAAACAGGCAGTAGCAGCCGAAATAATAAATTCAAACGCAAAAATTCATACGGGCAAAATTTCATCTGTCTCAGTGGTGGAAAGGAGATTTTGGCAAAAGTAGACTTTCATATCCTCGGGGAAAAAATGAATCCATTAGGGCATCAGCTGCCAGGTTTCATTAATTTCTCCGTTACGAGCGTGTTCCGCGTTTTTGTATCCGCCGAGGCGTGATGAAGACTATGATCACTGGCGCAGACAGGACATCTAGGCAGGTTGCCGCGATGGGCTCAGGGCAAACGCACGTGAGCGCTCTTACGTGTGTCAAGCTTGTCTGTCCGTACTACTAGATGTGTCGCAAAGAGCGCCAATCGTTAATCACGTTAGCGCATCACTATACAGTTTTCGCATATGTTACAGTCAAAAATGATCCCCAGCTGAGTTTTGGACAATATTCTTAACGGTAGTTCTATTAAAATAACTCTGAGCATAGTCCACAGGTTAAACTAGGCATGATTCAATATGCATTAACTGTTAACTGTTTTTTTTACATATTCACACAAGTGGTGATATGGTATCGGATGAATAGAGCAAAACCTTGAATTCGAATGCAGCGTACTGATGGACAGGGTAATTAACAGCAACGGTGTGCTTAGTGAAAAAAATCTAGAGCAAATTTACATCACAGATTGTAGGCAGTATTAAATAATATATACCGGTGTGATAGGATTTGTGTAGATTTGGGGACAGCGGAATTAACTATTTGGTACAAGTTTACCATAACACAAATGCAAAGTTGATTACTCGATCCTTGTAGTTTTCCACTTTACTTTTTTTGTCAATCTTGCCGCAGTTCTGACTACGATTGAGCTAAAGTATTCTTGGGCTAAATATTATCAGGATAGCTAGAATTGGATTGCACATATAGCTATTACCTATCCAGTATGTTCTGTCCGATTAACGGGAACCCTGATGCGAGTTACTCTGGTGCGTTTGACCGAAAAGGCTGCCGGCTCATTGAGGGCGCTTTACAACTACATATAAATTTTGGTAAGTTAACATTTTGTGCACTAGAACAGCATCTGTACATGGTCTGGCTGGAATGATTGTCTTAGTCTACGTCGAGCTGGCGCGTTTGAGTCCGTTGCTGTGTGTTAGTCAGCATCCAATTGATAACGTTGGAGAAAGTTTGGCGTTCTACTAGAAGATAAAGCTACGCAGGCTTGTGTAATCTTGTCTTTCCAGTCTTAGTCACTCCCCTGGGATACGATATTTTTCGACAACCTTTCTCGATACCCTATTACTCGAAAAAGATCGCACAATTAAAGGGTGCATACGTCTTGGAAAAGAGGAAATCTACTGGCATGGCACTGGCTGGTTAGCGGAGCACTCGGCAAGCGGGCGAACATTAGCCTGCGTGTGTGGGTTGACGGAATGGCGACGTGAGCACACGACTAAGCGTCCGTCAGTGTGAGTTGATTGGTTGATTTTGAAGTTCATGGGGGGCCTGTGATTGGCTGTCCTAAGGGCTGAATATGCGCACATTCCATCCGTCCGAGAATTCCTAGTGCAGCGTTAATGCCCGGAAGACAGTTTAATGCGTGTTTGGGTCTTTACGCGCTTTCCAGGAATCTCTTTTCGTTTTTAGTCATGCGGGCTGAGTATAGTTGGATGGCGTAGTTCAAGAGGCTGAAATTTTGGTCCTTGTGTTCCTAAACGGAAGCAAAGCTCAGGAGGAGTGGGCGTGGTGCTCTTCAACTAATCCTTCAATATCCGGACCGGGAGACTGAGTTATATTTTCCTATATTGACGAAACAATGCTCGACAGATCACTGATTCTGTTCGCTTTAGGTTGTAATGGACGGGGTTTTGCGTGTTGAGGGTAGTGAAAATGCCATTCCTAGGTTGTAAGTCAGAAGGAGTAAGAACATTCAATGGGAGAGGTTTATCAGATGTCTGATGTTTCAGGTAGTTGTGTCGTGTTCGTAGACTGCAACTACCTCTGAGCCGCTGGGTATGGCTTGCATCTCACTGTCATTGGCGGAGCATCCCGTATATACAAGGAGTCTCCGAAACCGTAACCCGATCCCTCGCGCCTCCCAGGATAAGAGTTTCCCATAGGCTTACCTCCACAATCGATTAAAAAGTTGTAGTGACATAACTAACCTTTTCTTTTAAACTATGCCCCGTTTTTAACTTGACACAACTCTTGATAAAAAACGAAAATACCACGTCGTTTCTTGGTTGCCAATAAAGTTCTTCTTACTTTACGGACGTACGACTTGGAGGTGTTT